TTCATGGGTATTGCACGACACAGGTGCACTTATCTACAAAGAGGCAATACATGCATACACATAAAATAAAAATTAAAACAAACAACAAAAAAATAAATAGTGGGGCTGGAGAGATGGCTCAGCAGTTAAGAGCACTGGCTGTTGTTGTAGAACACCTAGGTTCAATTCCTAGCACCCACATGGTAGCTAACAACCATCCATAACTCCAGTTCCAGGGGATCCAACACCCTCTTCTGACCTCCTTGGGCACTGTATGACACAGATACACTTACATACATGCAGGCAATACACTCATATACATAAAATAAAAAAATAATAAAATATTTATTTTTAAAAACAAAAGAAGTAATACATGTTGGCAAGGATATGGACAACAGGGAACCTTTATATACATTGCTAGTGGAGATATAAACTGGTCCATCCAGTTTGGAACTTCGGTGTGGAAGTTCACTTAAAAAAAACTAAAAACAGACCTACCATATGACCTAGCTATACCACTATTAGAAATTTCCCCAAAAGACTTCAGATTAAAATATCACAGAGATATATAAGTATATCTATGTTTACTGCAGCATTATTCACAATAGCAATAGAACTAACCTAGGTTTCTATCAACAAAGGAATAAAAAAAATGGAATTTTCTTCAGTCATAAAGAAGAAAGTTACATTACTGGCAAGAAAATGATGCATCTATAGATAATCATATTAAGTGAACTGAGTCAATCTCAGAAAGACAATTATAGGATTTTCTCTCATTTGTAGATTTTACAGATACATGAAATCATCTGAGTATGTATGATACAAAAAGGAGAGGTGAAACTGTCATGAAGAGGAGAGGAAGTGCTGAGAGGAGGAGGAGAGGAGAAGGGGAGGGAAATATGGGGGGAACGTCCTCATAGCACATTATAATCATGTAAAAATGTCCTTCTGCAACCCAGTACCAGGTACAACTATACATTATTGGAAAAAAATTAAGGTAACAGGTAAAATGCTCATATTTGAAAATATGGGTGAAGAGTATAGAAGAATTATTTGTAGTATTTTTGCTACTTTAAATCTAACATTACTACAAAATCTGAAATTAGAAAGAGGTCAGGAAAGCCAGGCATGGTGGCACATACCTTTAAATCCCAGCACTTGGGAGGCAGAGGCAGGTAGGGCTCTGTGAGTTTATCTCATCTACATACTGAGTGAGTTTCAGGACAGCTGGGACTACAGGGAGACCCTGCCTCTTTTTTTTTAAAAAAAAAAAAAAAAAAAAAAAAAAAAAAAAAAAGGGTTTGGGCTTAAAAGAGGGCTTAGGTTATGGCTCAGCATTACAGTCCACACCTACTTGGCATTCAAGAGGGTCTGGGGTCAATCCCCAGCACTGTTAGAAGGAAAGGAAAGAGGGAAAGGAAAAGAGGGAACACTAAGAAAAGTTTAAAAGGATATATAATCCCCTGGCTTGTGCCTATCATCCAAGGATGAAGTCTGGACCTAGAATTGCTTCTAAAACTTTTCACAAATCAGCTCTGCACTAGTTGCATCTGACTTCACATTTGAAACACACACAGCAACTGTAAACTGTTGCTCCTGAAAAACACTGTCCTACAAGATCTCCAAAGAAAAGCACATAAATTAAAAAATAAAGAGTAGATGCCAGGTAACTCCCAATGCTCAAAACTCTGCTGAGACACAGAGAAGTAATGACAGGATGTTGATTAGAAGTTTTGTTCTTTTGAGCCACAGGAGCAGGTAATCTGGTTCTCTTAAGAAATGAGTAACCCTCAACAAAGGTAAATCTAGTCAATCCTAAACTTGTCACCCACAAACTTTCACCTTAATCCAACAAATTTATTCTGGCAAAAGCTCCTGTATCTGTTGCCAGCAATCAGTAACAGACTGGAATCAAGGGCAAGTAAGGGCAGGGGATAAATCTCTTCTCACTATAGTAAAAGACAGATAGACTTTTGGCAGATCTACTTGGAACTGGGTGAATGTCAATATAAAGAGAGTTTTTTTCCTCAGTATGATTTCAACTTACCATTTTTAATTTAACTTTTTTTTTTTTTTTTTGTCTTTTTGAGACAGGGTCTCCCTGTAGCCCCAGCTGGCCTAGAATTCAGAGAGATCTGCTTGCCTCTGCTGGGATTAAAGGTGTGTACCACCAGGACTGGCTCAATTTAAATGGTGCAAAAGCAATATGCATTCCACAGAAACTACACTTCAAATTCTCAATTTTGATCTTATCTTGGGCTAGCAATGTGTGGTACAATCTCTCTGGCAATGTGATGCAATGGCAGCAACAGGAGCTCCCAGCTGGTAGGTAATAAGGGTGAACTTCACAGCACTCTGGAATGCTGAGCTATGGTGCTCAGTGGGCTGCATGTGCATTTTCCAAATGTGAAGCTTATCTAAATGAATGCCTACTGTAAGCTAAGGAGCACCTATAGTATAGTGACTAATGTTGGAGAAGCTGAAAACTACTACAAAAACAACAGGTACAAGATGGTTTTAATGCAATAAAGAATGAGTAATTTCCAGATAATGACCTACAGCTTAGTCTTTAATAATGAATACTTCTGAAGTTGTAAGATTCCCAATATGGTGACAATGAGGCAACAAGTTGTGGTATCAGATACTCCCCTCCATTTCTCAACTTTCCGCACTTCTGTGGCTATGCTTCTTGCACATAAAAACAACTACCACCAGAGTTAAGTAATCTACTGACTTTGGACATGCCACTGAACCTTTATGAAAAGACAGCTTCACAATTCTTACAACGTTTTAAAAGGCTTCAAAACAATCAGACCTGGCGGTGCATTATCTATAATCCCATCACTCAGGAGCCTGAAGCAAGGATGGCAAGTTCTAGGCCAGCCTCGTATACACAGTAAGTTCCAGACCAGCATAAGCTACACAGTGAGACCCTGTCAATAAACAAATGAATGCCTATGAACTGAAATAAAGCTGAAGTAAGGTAGTGATTTACATCTTCCCAATAGTTATGACAAGAATTTTTCAATGAAGGGTTCTTTGAATATATAGATGATTCCTTATTAAAGACCTTATTAAAGGGGCTAGAGGGACGGCTCAGAAGTTAAGAGCACTGGTAGCTCTTGCAGAGAATCCAGGTTCTAGTCCAAGCACCCAGGTGGCGAACAACTGCCCATAACTCTAGTTCCAGGGGAACCTAGCTCCTCCTCCTGATCTCTGTGGGCATTGCGTGACATGGATGCATGACACACATGCACTCACACACACAAAAAAACAAATTTTTTTTTCTTCAAAAAAAAATTACAATTTATTTTTAAATTTCTTAGAACTAGTTAAGTTTTAATTAGTCTTATGAAAATGCCCCCAATGTAGTATTATAGCCATTCTCAGGGACCTTAATGACTATAGGTGTCTTTAAGGCTCGTAACATGGCCTTACTATTGCCAGCTTTTCTAGCTCTCTGCAGATACACATTCAGATAAGCAGATCAGTTGGCTGGCTTAAAAACAAAATTTTTAAAAGACCTTATTAAAGACTGAAATACATTCCTACCTTCAACTATGGTAAAATTCACTGCTACTTTGTGTATCACTTGGTTACTTTAGAGAAAGAGAATTCTATTTTGCAATTCCATTTGACAATTGTGATACATAATACAAAAATAATTCATGTGAAAGGCTTATAACATACATAACAGAAAACACACATTACAAAAGTTTGTTGTCCTTTTTACAGTGAACATCAATAAACATTAACAGTATTAGAAGACATTCTTTTTTAACAATTCACAATCTAAACTATCAATGGCTGAATTAAACCCTGATACATACAGCTATAGTTAACTTCAAATTATTGGTTCCTTTTAAAACATGAGCTAGTTGGACATGGTAGCACACACCTTTTAACCGCAGTGCTCAGGATAAATTCAGCATAAATTCAAGTCAAATGTGCTTAAAGAACTAGCCACACATTAGCATTCCCCAAATCCTAAGTATCTCCAGATGTAAAACTATTACATGATCTCTTTTCAACTATCAAATACAATCTGCAGGCATACTTTTAAAACTAATCTGTACCAACTCTGTAAGAATATTCTCTTCTGGGGTGGAAAAACGGCTCAGCAGTTAACATCACTGGCTGCTCTTGAGCAGAGGACCTGGGTTAAGTTCCCAGCACCCACATCGGGGCTAATACAATTCCAGGGGATCCAATGCCCTTCTTCTGATCTCCAGGGTCACTGCACAAGCATTATATACATACACGCAAAACACTTGTACACATGTAAAATAAAACTAAATCGAATTTTTAAAAAAGAATATTCTTTTCCATTTAAGATGACTTCTTTTATCCTTATTTCCATGAAAACATCACCTGGGTTATCGTTTTACTCTAGCTAATATATCCCTAAAGAATTACAAATAGAGTACGACTAGCTCTACAATATTCACTTCTAATTAATTAAAAACGAATCACATCCCTTAAAGTAAGTAAAAATGCAAGCAGAAAACATGTTAAGTCAGAAAAGGAAAGATTAGTATTTAGGCAAGATTTAATGTTTTAATTAAAAAAAAAATTCTCAAACAAATGTACAACATTTGGCAACTAGAAAAATAAAACATTAGCACCAATGAAAAATAAAAACCAGCCAAGAATATTTAGAACTCTAAGTTGTTCTATATAAAGGAGAAAGGCTGAGATAATTACTCACATGTGGCATTATCAGTTAATGGTACATAGCAACAAACTATTACTGCTGAAGTCACCTCAAGATTCTACAAGATGATCACAGCTAACACATGGAAGAAATCACTCATACTTTCAATCAAGTTGTAATTTAAAAACCATACTCACAACTATGGCACTATTTAATACCTAGTCTTTGGCTTAGTACTGTATTAGCCAAAATCTTTCTGAACTTCAATGTTTCCATTTAGCTATAAAAAAGCCAATTTTATCTAAAAAGATTTTTAAAATTCTATTAAGTGATGTGCTACATAATTAGCAACAACAAATCCACTTACTTTTTTCTCTTTCTCATGATGTTTATCCTGAGAGTGAGAGGAAGAATCACTTAAACTTTGATCATATGACCTATTAGATCCCCGTTTGCTCTTTTTCTAAAAGAGAAAACATATACATATGTGTATATGTATATAAAAAATAACTGTTAGGTTTAAACTATTTTCAAGTGTGAAATGTTTTTAAATGTCTAAAATTTGTTTTTAAAAAATCACTTTCAGTTTATATAATCCAGTTTAAATACCACTACTATATTACAAACAAAAAAACTAACCTAAATTTAACATTAATGTCTTATTTTTGTATATTTACTAAGATGTGTAAAAACATTATTTTCAAATAAGCTACTATATTTTCAATGTTGGCTTAAAACAAACAAACAAATAAAGAAAAAACCCACCCCACTGACCAAAAGATGCCCATGAACAAAAAGTACGATGCAGCGGCACATCCCTGGCATCCCAGTATTTGGGAGGCTTGGGGAAAACAGATGCCAAGATTAGAGAACAGAAAAGTCAACGTTTAGAGTTACTTTACACAGCAAGAAGCTTTTGCTTTCAGTAAAGAAAAAAAAGTTCTCTAAAAGTTTGTCTCTACAGGTCATTTAGGAACAGATAAAGATAAATATCCGTGTTAAACCCATGCACATTTTCATTTCTACAAGCACTACACACTTCTGTTTAAAATCATAACGTGTGGAGGTAAGAATTATTTAGGGTACTTAAAAAATTAAAATTGGGTGACATTAAAAGTAATTAGTTTAAGGCAGAGACAGGCAGATCTCTGTGAGTTCAAGGCCAGCCTGGCCTACACAGTGAGTTCCAGGACAGCTGGGGCTACAGGGAGACCCTGTCTCAAAAAGATCGAAAAAAAAAAAAAGAAAAAAAAAAGTAATTAGTTTAAAATCAATTTTTAAAAGCAACTATAAAACAAATTCAAGTTCTATAGTTAGTTTATATAATCTCACTCAACAAAAATGTTTTTCCCAACTAGCAAATGGGATTAACATCATGTCAATAATTAGTAATGAGAAAACTCTTTATTTGTATAAACTTCAGAACCCTTTCTTATTCTTTTTAACCTTTCTTTTCTTTTCTGACACTGGGTCTCATGTAGTCCAGGTTGGCCTTAAATTCATTCTGTAGAAAACATGAGCCTGAACTCCTTAACTTCTTGTTTCTACCTCCAAAGTGCTGGGATTAGAGATACATACCACCATACCCAGCTTCAAATTTTTCAATTTTATAATATCTAAATCTTATAAAACATTCCACTTTTTTTCAGTCGTTGAAATAAATTAAAGTCTTCAGCAACAAATGATACTTATGTACAGTCATGTGTCAGTTCATGAGAAACATTCTAACAAATGTGTTGTATCTGGTGATTTCATCACTGCATGAACAATGGAAGCATGATGTGTTCATTTCCTAAGACAGGGCCCTTAGTATCAATTATACAAGGGAGGGAAGAAAGCAGGGAGGCAGGGAGGGAAGAAAGCAGGGAGGCAGGGAGGGAAGGAAGGAGGACCGCAAGCTCTACTCAACAGCTAAAGATCATTTAAAAATAAAACTTAAAAACAAAGAACAAACCATTCAGTGTATGAATCTACATATTCAAGGAACGAGAAATAGACATTTGGAGCATTAAAAATATTGATGCTAGTCAGGCATGGTGGCGTGCACCTTTAGTCTCAGGACTAGGGAGGCAGAGGCAGGAGGATCTCTGTGAGATCAAGGCCAGCCTGGTCTCCACAGTGAGCTCTAGGTCAGCTGGGGCTACAAGAAGACCCTGTCTTGAAAAACCAAAATAAATAAATAAATAAATGGAAAATAGACACAAATAGACACAAATATATAACAATCAAAAGTTTCTGATTCAATCATTGATGTTACTGTTTAACAGTAAAGGCTAAATCTAAAAAATTCCAAAGCTGGGTTCAAGTGTATTTTCTCAAGGTCTTTAAAGAAGTTGTAAAATAATCTTACTTCTGTTTTATTATTTCCTAGAAAATAAAAATGGAAGTAGGCAGCAAACACCATAGGTAACAGAAATGCAACAGGAATGGACACAGTGACAAAGCCCAAATGATCACAGGCAAGAAAATCAAAGCAACTAAACCCTTAAAATATAAATTCGCTAAAATTAATTTTCCAGAAAATGATAAACATTTACTAACAATTATCAGTATATATATTCTAATATAGAATATTCTAGGGGCTGGAGAGATGGCTCAGCAGTTAAGAACACTGGTTGTTCTTGCAGAAGACCCGGGTTCGAATCCCAGAACCCACATGGCAGCTAACTGTCTGTAACTCCAGTTCCAGGAGATCTGACAGCCTCTTCTGTCCTCTGCCGGCATTGCACGACACAGGTGCACTTACCTACATGCAAGCAATGCACGCATACACATAAAATAAAAATAGTAAATAAAAATTTTTAAAAAGTTTTAAAAAAAAAGCCAGGTGTGGTGGTGCACATCTGTAGTCCCAGCACTTGGGAGGTGGAGGTAGGTGGATCTCTGTGAGTTCAAGGCCAGTCTGGTCTACAAAAAAAAAAAAAGAGAGAGAGAGAGAGAATATTCTAGAGAGCAAAATATTTTAAAATTACTACTTCTTTTCATTTCCAATAAGGAAATAAATTTATCTTGGGTTAAAAAAACTTAACCTTGAGCAAAAATCAACAGGAAGCTACTATATGTCTTTTACATGTCTATGTATTTTTTATGACGGTGTCACTCTACTTTTAAAACTAATTGCTGTTTTAGTATTAAATCCAAACTAACCCTTACCAGCTTACTGAAGTGGTATTTACAGTAGCCACAGTACTGGACGTTGTCTGCACCATTACCTTCTTCTTCACAGAGGAGTCCAGCAAACTGAGCACTGAAAACAAAGACCAAGCTCAAAATATTATACTTTAAAGCAAACAAAACTTAGTTTTAGGAATTTGTAAGAAAATATAAAGGGGAAAACAGAAGGTAGAGCTGGGGGGTTTTAGCTCTGCTCATTAGATAATAGCATCTACAATGTTCTGGGCTATTCCAGTATACACATTCATTCACAAGTGCAGAGACAGAAAAGCATTCCTGTAGTTGTGGTCAAAAACATTCACCTCCACTTACAAATTATCATTTTTTAAGGTCATAATTTAAAATAAACTCATTTCCATCAAGGATGAAGATGCATCCAAGTTTTTTTCACCAAATAGTCATCAAGCGGCTTTAAGAGCTGGACACATCAGCACATGCAGACTGTCCCAGTACTGGGAGGTTGATGTTAGTCTTTACTAACTAACATCAATAGATTACTTGAGTCCTGGGGTTTGAAATAAGAACGGAGAACAGTGAGAGCCCATGAAAACTAAAAAGTTTCATTAAGATAAATCCCCATTCTTGCCAGGTGGGGTAGTGCATGCCTTTAATCCCAGCACTCAGGGAGGCAGAGGCAGGCAGATCTCTATGAGTTCAAGGCCAGTCTCATCTACAGAGCCAGTTTCAGGCCAGCTGGGGCTATAGAAAGAACCTGTCTCAAAAAGATCAATAAAAAGACACACACACCCACCAAAAAAAAAAAAAATCCTATTCTCCTCATAATAAACAAGTTTCACTTTTTTTGTTTGTTGTTTTTTGAGACAGGGTCTCACTGTGTTAGTTCTGACTGGCCATCTGCCTCTGCCTCCCAAGTGCTAGAATAAAAGGCATGCACCATCATACCTAGCCTAACAATTCCTACTTTTAACATCTATGTAGTGCTTGGGGCTGGAGAGATGCTCAGAGGTTAAGAGCACTAACTGCTCTTGAAGAAGACCTGGACTCAATTCCCAGCACCCAGATGGCAGCTAACAATCATCCGTAACTCCAGTTCCTGAGAACCGACACCCTCTTCTGATCTCCACCGTACACGCAAGCAAAACACACAGAAGCACTGGGTGTAGTAGTGCACTCCTTTAGTCCCAGCACTCAGGAGGCAGATGCAGGTGGACCCCTATGAGTTCAAGGCCAGCCTGGTCTACATAGTGCGTTCCAGGACAGCTGGGGCTACAAGGAGATGATGTCTTGAAAAGATCTCCCTCCCCCAAAAAACAAAAAGATATACGTATAAAATTAAAAAAAAAAAAATCTATGTAGTGTTGAAAATAAAAGCCATGTTTCTCTAAAGACCTGATTTGATAATGTGATAAAGATTACATGGATACAAACTATACCCTCTGTGTTTTGCAGGGCAGTACTGGGGGGTTGAACTCAGGGCCTCTCATATGCTAGGTAAGCACTCTACCACTGAGTTACATCCCTATGTCACTATTATCTTTATTATTCTGTTGTGTACATGGGAGAGAGGGTTACCTTCAAACCATCATGCACACGTGGAGTTCAGAGGACAACTGGGGGAAATGGCTCTCTCCTTCCACCATATGGGATCCAAGGTTTGAATTCAGGTCATTTGGGTTTGGCAGTAAGCACCTTTATCTGCTAATGCATCTTACTGGTCATTGGTTGTTTTTTTTTTTTCAATTTTGAAACAGTGTTTCTCTCACTGAGCTGCCCAAGGTGACCCTGAGCTCATTCTATAACTTGGGCAGGACTTGAATTTGTAATCCCCCTGCCTCTACCTCACTTTTTTTTAGGGGGGAAGGTTGTCTTTCTGAGACAGGGTCTCCCTGTAGCCCCAGCTGGCCTGGAACTATGTAGACCAGGCTGGCCTCGAACTCACAGAGATCTGCCTGCCTCTGCCTCCCAAGTACAGGAATTAAAGGCGTGCGCCACCACACCTGGCTACCTCACTTTTTTAATTTGTCTGTTTTCGTTATATGTGTATGAATGTATTGTTTACAGATATGTTACAGGTATGTGCACTTGTGTCGTGCAGTGCCCACTGAGGTCAGAAGAGGGCGTTGGATCCTCTGAAACTGGATTTATAAATGGTTGTTAGCCGCACTGTGGATGCAGGAATTCAAACCCCAGTCCTCTGCAAGAGCAGCCAGTGCTCTTAACCGCTGGGCCATCTCTCCAGCTCTACCTCTACCTCCTTAATAGCCTATGTCACCAAGGCCTGGCTCACACTACAACCTGGAGAAGGAAAACTTCTTTGCAACTCTTATATGCTTCAAAGTTATAGCATAGTAATCAAGATCAACACAGGTGTGTAAAAGAGAGTTAAAGATATAGCTCAGTGGTAGAGTGCTTTCCTAACATGTACAAAGTACTGGGGTTTGATCCTAAGCAGTGAACATAAAAACTATTCCAGTAAAATACACTGTAATAATACCAGAGTTGGTAGGTACTTAGCTAAACAATGTTACACAAATTATTTACCAATTTCATTTCTATACAATGATGGAAACATACTTACCATGTTACATGGAAAGCCTGTCGACATCCATGTTTATTACATGTCATGCAAGCACCAGTGGCTGCTTTGCTTTCTCTTCCTTGTTCATCACATATGTAGCAAGTCTTAGAGTGAAGACACAAAAATTAAAAATCACAGATGTCCTTAATACGAATCTGCATTTTACAAATACAGAAATTGCCACCAAATTTATAATCAGAATATAATTTCTGTTTTTGGACAGAAATTAAATCTTTGCAAATAGAAATAGGACAATATAAATAACAAAGTCTTAGTAAAAGTTCGAAAAAGCATTGCTTTTACTGGTCTCAAAAAACCTGACAAACAAGAGGCCTGTTCACTGACACAAAGAGATAGGGGGAGAGGGGGTGTAACAGTCATCCATACTCTAAAGGACAAAGAACAGCCCTATGTAAGTGAATGAAGGTTAGGTGATTTCAACTCTCCACAAGGAATCTATTAATACCATTAGGCCCCATCAACATGACATGCTGGGTTAGGGAGGAAAACACTTTAACCTAGTATATCAGAAAAGTTTCTTTAAATCAACTCCAGTCACTCTAACTTGGGACATTTGGTGTGCTTCCCATATAAAAATAACCATTCACAGCTCAAAATAATTGGTAGTCAGGGGACAGAAGAATCAATCATAGAAACAATATTTTATGAACAACCGTGCATAGTAAGAAAATTATCAGCCAACTAGAAGTTGATTACAAAAAGATAAATGTTGGGGCTAGAGAGATGGCTCAGTGGCTAAGAGAACTGCTTGCAGAGGACCTGGGTTCAATTCCCAGCACCCACAAGGCAGCTAACAAGTATCCAAAACTCCATTTCCAGGGGATCCGACGCCCTCTTCTGACCTCCGTGGGTACTGCATGACATGGGTGCATTTACACACATGCACATAAAATAAGTCATAAATATTTAAAAAAAAAATAAAAAAGACAAATGTTCAACTACATGTAATGCCCATAAAGAGGCCTTAAGAACCAAAGATGCCGGGAATGATGACATACACGTATAATCCACACTCAAGAGGCTAGAGGTAAGAGACCTCCTGTGAGTTTGAGGCCAGCCTGGATTACATAGGAAGTTCCAGGCCAGTCTGAGCTACAAAATGAGAGACTCTGTCTTTGAAAAAAAAAAAAAAGTTTAGCAGTTCCACTTGAGAGGACAGCTTTTATTTGTAACAAGCTTTGAAGCTCATGCATAAAGTCACAGTTAAAGAGAATTCTACATTATACCAGAATACCTTGTAGTGCCTGATAAAGTCATACACTTGTGATTTGTCAATGAAAATTTAAAAAGTTTCATTAAGATAAATCCCCATTCTTGCCAGGTGTGGTAGTGCATGCCTTTAATCCCAGCACTCAGGGAGGCAGAGGCAGGCAGATCTCTGTGAGCTCAAGGCCAGCCTGGTCTACATAGTGAGTTCCAGGACAGCTGGGGCTACAGGGAGACCCTGTCTCAAAAAGAGACCAAATAATAATAATAATAATAATAAATAAATAAATAAATAAATAAAATAAAAAAGGAGGGCTAGGGAAATAGTACAGTTGGTAAACTGTTTACCACACAAGCATAAGGACCTGAGTTCAATCCCTAAAACCTACATTTAAGAAAAACAAATCATGGAAGCATACACTTATAACCCTAGCTCCGGGGAAGAGGAACAGGAGGGTCCCTGGGGTTTGCTGGTGAATCAGTCTGCCCAGCCTTCTCAGCAAGCTCCAGATTAGTACAAGACCCTGTTCTCAAAAAACAAGATGGATGGCATGAAAGAATGACACTGGCCCTCTACACATGCATGTTCTTTTTTTTTGAGACAGGGTCTCCCTGTAGCCCCAGCTGTCCTGGAACTCACCATATAGACCAGGCTGGCCTTGAATTCACAAAGATTCACCTGCCTCTGCCTCCCAAGTGCTGGGATTAAACGTGTGCGCCACCATGCCCAGCACACATGCATGTTCTTACACACAAATTTCAGTATACGTATTTAATAAAGTCTAACATGGGGTCAATGAGGTGGCTCAGCAGGTAAAAAGCATGTCACAAAGTCTGTAACCTCAGTTCAATCCCTGGAACCCACAGAGACAGCAGAGAGTCAAATGCAGAAAGCTGTCCACTGACCTCCAACATACGCATCACCAGACATACATGCACGGTATAACTACAACTGCCTAACAGAACAAGCATTTCAAAATTACAATAGTGAGCCAGTTTTGTTGGTCCATACCTGAAATCCTAGCACTTAGAAAGAGGCAGGAGAATCAGGAATTCAAGGCCAGCCTAGGCTACAAGAAACCCCTCCCTCCCTCCCTCCCCCACACACAGTAACATAAAGTGTAAAGAAAAGGGGGGGGGGATTAATGTTTTACAGAAACTTAGTGAAATTTTTCTCTTAATTACATGCAATAAACCAAACACTAAGTTATTTCTGTGAGGATGGGTTTTTGTTTAGCTTTGTTTTCTTTGAACTCTAAATCCAGGCATTGAGACACACACTTTCAACCCACTATGGTATCTATAGTGATCTTTTTCTTTCAAGTCATGAGGTTTCAATGAACTTGCATTTGCAAAGCAAGCACTCTGCTACCAAACTATATTCCCATGTACTACTTATTTTACTACTAAAATGAAGACTCAAGCTGTGTGAAGTAGCAGAGGCCTATGGTCTCACAGAATCAGGGGCCTGAAGCAAGAGGATCACTTGAGACTGGGAGTAGGAGGATCCAGATCAGACCCCATTTTCAAAACAAACAAAAAATGAAAAGCAACACCTGCAATTTACCATTTCTAATCATTCCAATATAATAAGACATGAAAGTAAAGACACATTTGGGAATAACTAGTTAACCTATGGCTCTTTTCTGTCTTCACAGCTTAACTTCCTTTTATATATATTTTAATTAGCATACAACATATTTCTTTATGGCATTTTCATGTAGACTTAGTTGGTTCTTTAACCAACTGACCAACTGTTCCTCTCCTCCACTTCCCTGCCTTCGCTCTCTGACATTCTAAGTGCTCTACTACTCTCCATATCCCTCCCTTCCCCTCATGGGCCCATTTCTGGTTTCCTGACCTCTCCTCACACTCACTCTCACATAAATGTACACACATAAGATAGAGGGCTGAAGTGATTTCTCAGCCATTAAGAGCACTTGCTGCTCTTCCAGTTTGGTTCCCAGTACCCACTTGACGGATCACAATTGTCTATAACTCCAGTTCCAGGTCTTCTGGTCTACAAGAGCATTATATGCACTGGTATACCTATATAGATACAGGCAAAACACTCCTACACAAAAAATAAAAATTTAAAATAATTATAAACCAGCCAGCCAGCAAGATAGCTCACTGGGTAAAGCTGCCAAGACTAAGTTCAAACCCCAGTAATCCACATGATGGAAAGGGAGAACCAACTCTGATGTTCACACATGAACTGTGACAAGTAAATAATAATATAATAATATTTCCCAATACTTGGGAGACAGAGGTAGGCATATCTCTGTGAGTTTGAGGCCAGAGTGGTCTACATAGCAAGTTCCAGGCCACCCAGGCCTAGACAGTGAGAACCTGTCTGAAAATATTTTTGTTTTAATTTTTTATGTGAAGCCAGGTGTGGTGGCACATGCCGTTAACCCCAGGACTTGGGAGGCAGAGGCAGGTGGATTTCTGTGAGTTCAAGGCCAGTCTGGTCTCCACAGCAAGTTCCAGGCCAGCTGAAGCTGCAGGGAGATCCCGTGTCAAAAGGACCAAAAAATGTGTGTGTGTGTTGCCTACATGTATGTAAGCGTACAACGTGCATGCAATATCTACAAAGGCCAAAAGAGGACTCCTGGAACTGGAGTTAAGGAAAGTTACTAGCCAACATGTGGGTGCTGAGAACCGAACTCAGGACCTCTGCAAGAGCAATCAGTGGTTTGTTTTTTTACCATTGAGGCACTTCTTTGGCCCCCATAAATACTGTAAATGAAAAAAACAAAAACAAAACAACAAAAAAAATGGAAGCTAGCATCTATCTGAATACGAGAGTGCATGAGAACAATGTGCTACTTCCCTCTTTGAGCCTGTTATTTCTCTTAGTATTTTCCAATTCCATCCATTTTCCGATAAATTTAATTTCTCTCTAGAGCTGAATAAAGCCCCATGGTGCACATGAACCTTATTTCATCCCCCTTATCTGTTGATGGATATGCAATTTCTGCTGTACACGACCAAAGTGATACAGGTGGGTCATATGTTAAATGTTCTCAGTTTCTTGAGAAACCTTGACAGTGATTTCTCTAGTGGCTATACCAGTCTACACTTCCACCAACAGTGCAGAAACTAAGGAAGGGCTCCTCTTTCCTCATATTCCCACCAGCATTTGTTTTCTTCATGAGAGCCATTCTGACTGGGGTGAGATGAAATCTCAAAGCAGTTCTGATTTACATTTCCCTGGTGGCTAAGGTTGCTAACGCTTCATGCAAGCAGCTAATCCTCCATAATCTGCGCTCCTGGTTCCTGCCTTGGCCTCCATTGATGGTGGACTGTGCTTGTAAGCCAAATAAACCCTTTCTTCCCCAAGTTGTTTTTGGTCAGTGCTTTTATTGCAGCAACTAAAGGCAAACTAAAACACGAGGCTTCTGGAGATCCAACTCAGGTGCTCATACTTGCATACCATGCACTTAATCAACTGTGCATCTCCCCAGCCCATAAAAATACCCTTAAAAAAACCATCAGCTGAGATATACAAAAAGGCAAAATGGTTTTGCTTTGCTGGAGGGAGGGGGGATCCCTTGCTATATAATAGCCCAGGCTGGCCTTGAACTCAGCAATTCTCCTGCTTCGGTTCCACATATGCTGGGAGTAAAGGTATGTAACACTCCATCTAGCTGCAAAAGGATTTCTCTAGAAAAGTGTTATACTGTGCCATCTGAGTAGCTAGTATAAAGTGCCAACAAAAGACAAACATTATAAGGTGGACAAGAAGTATGCACATTTTAATCCTCTGTACAAACTGGGGGTTTTATCTTATATGACCGTGGACAAGTCTGACAAACAAGGCAGTAAATTCCAAGGACTTACACAAAGACTTTAAAACAACATTGCTTTGTTC